AAAAAAAAAAAAAAAAAAGGTGAATAGGCCCGGCAGAGCCAGCACAGTGAATGCTCGACGCTGTCTTAAGTGATTACATGATGTTGTGCCACCCCCTCTCATTGAGTTATCTTTACACTGCTTTTGTCTCCTCTAATTGAAGCCGATGAGGTGCTAATTGGTTGCTTTTTTAAAAAAGCACTACTTAAGCACTGGCAAACAGAGTAAGACAGCGTGAGGGGAGTTAATGAGGGCTTAGCAGAAAAAAAAAAAAAAAAAAAAAAAAAAAAAAAGACCCACCGAGACCAACCAACCGACCCACCTACCGACCGAACGACCTCAAAACCCCGACCCAAACCTAAACCGCCCCCCGTTGTTCGAAACTAAACCGAGATGAGAAATTACTGCATTGGGAAATGGCTGTGAGGATTTGAGCTTTGGGAGAGAAAGAGGCACTTCTAGCGCTCAATGACTGCCCACAATTTGGCCAGCATCCTTGGCACCTCAAGGTGTACCCAGGCACCGGTGCCTGAGCAGCTGTGGGAGACGGGTCACTGCAGCCACCCAACAGGTGAGGCTGCACTGCCTGCACCCCACCAAAGCCAAGCTTGGCAGATTAAACAGGCTAGAAAGGTTTCTAGTTCAAAATAATAGATTTTTTTTGCTTTTTAAGCGAGGCAGAAACATGTTAGAAAGGCTTGTGTTGTGTCTAACAGCTTCTACCTGCAGGCAATGTCATTCCTTCGGGAGAAATGCTTTTGCTCTGGTGTTTGTGTATCCCCCAGGAAAACAGGGAAAACAGGTTTGGAAGCAGGGGAGGCTGGCATGGAGCACTTCCCCACCAGCGACTGCAATTCCCTTTGTCCCCGTACCACAGCACCGGGAAAGAAAGGAAAGCGGGAACACCTATTCAAMTGGACATCATTGCTTCTGGATGATCTTCAACAAAGGGCCTTGTGTTGAAAAATACATTTGTAAAGTGTTCCCTTTAAAAATGTTTCCATGCTTAGGCCGGTGGTAAGCTTGTATTTTTAAACGACACTTAATATAGTTACTGAATAACTGACAACATTTGAAATAACAACTTGGATGTGGAAATACCCCGAAATAATTCCGAGAGCTTTTTCAAAATGACACTGCAAATGCCTATGTTAAACACAATTCTTCATCGTTTCTGAATTTGTTTACATCCAATCTAGGCACACGTGTCGGCATAGGATGTTTTTTCACATTCTGTTTGTCCAAGCAAGCAACACCTTTAGGGCTCTGGGAAGAGGCTGCCCGGTGATGACAGGTTCAGAGTCTCTGGCACAGGCTCACGACCAACAGACAATTCTCGAAAGTCTTCAAAATCCATCGGATAAGCAGTTTCCTATTGGACAAAAAGAGAAAAGCTGAGCTGAAACGCCTCCAGTCAGCTCAGGAAGAAAACGACCCTTTCGCTAGGACAATTTCAATTATGTCTTTATGTAGGAGAGCAGTAAAGCATCGGGACTCCCCTTTACCTCACCTTTTTTTTTTCACTTTTTTTTCTGTGTATAACCAGTTAGAAAAACCGATTAGTTTACAAACAGTTCCTTGGGCTTCTGTTTTGCTTGCTAATTCGTAGGTCTATTCACATTCTAAACTGGATTCTTTTCACTCTAATGCATGGTCATTGTTTTGATGAACAACATGCTTTGGTTTTGGTTGTCAAGAAAAGGAGGGACTTCTTGCTAGCTTCTAGAAAGAAACTTCCTAGTGAACAAAGCTACAGCTGATTTCTCAAAATGCACTCCCTGAGCCATCCGGGCAGAAAATGGCCAAGAAAGATGCAAAACTGAAAATCCTGCTTTTTCCTGCAGAGGCAGCAAGTAGTTCTGTGGTCCCAAAGCTCGTGGAATGTCACATGCCAAATCACCTTTGTAATTAGTGTTGCACTTGCTAGAGCAGAGCATCTTTTGATTTCTGCTGGAACCTGAGGGCATTTTCAGGCCATCTCATCTGCAGCTCCTATCATCAGTGGCCAATAAATCTCATCTTGGACCTCAGAAGGAATTTGGCAGCTATCCCTGCAGGAGAGGTGGCCGATGGCAGCCTATCCATCGGCTGCCGACATCGACAGAGCTGAAGAAAGCGAGCGGCGGACGAGAGGCTGGGAAGTGAACCCCCCTTGCCTCTCCCTGTCCTCCTCCCTGCTGCTTTGTCTCATAGTCTGAAAATGGCTTTTCCTCAATTTTGATCCCTCTGGCAATGTTAGTTCGGTAAGAATTCACTCGGGGTGATGTTTAATAAGCAAGTCCTTTTACAAACTCCATTTGAAGGCAAAAAGCACGAGGAGTGACAGGAAAGGACTCGGTGTGGGTGTGTCTGTGTCTCAGTTCCCCTTAGTTCCACACGTTTCTTCCTGGTATTTTCAGAGAGCTCTTAACAAAACTCAATCGAAGGGGACTTTTCTCTGACCAGTTATTCCTTTGCGTGCCAAAGTCACCGAGAGCTCCTTCCTATTCACATCCAGAAATGAAAGAGAAAAGCGTCAGCGATGTGCTTGCGCTGAAAATCATCTGGATGGTTCTCTGTTCGTCAACAGATTTATTAGGGATTGTGCCCTGTATTGCCCTTTCCACTGAGACTGGGACTCCTCTATAAAGAAACAATGAAGAGCCTGGAAACACAGGCAGAGCTGAGGGAAGGCCTGTGGTTAGGAGAAAGAGAAATGTACAGGGAAAGGCAAACAGCAAAGGAAGGGAGGGGAGGTAAAACAAGGGAGAAAGCAGAAGAATAGCAGAGGCAAGGCTCCAAGTCTGGGGGAGACATCTGACAAATGACAGGGACTCRTCACACAGCCTGAAGAGAGGCAGCAGTGAGAAACTGGGGCGGTTGAAGCTGCACTGAGAATCACACGAGCAGCTCACGCAGAGGCTGCACTCTAGAAACCAAAGTTCAAAGGCAAGGATGCTTCCATGGTTTTTATGGCTCACTTCTGGGTCACCCGATTGAAAAGTTTCTCAACTGGAAAACTCCTAATGTACGAAGAGGTTTCATTGTTTTTAAATCTGTTTGTCTCATCCCTGCTTGAGATAAACATGAATGGCCCCAACTGTTCATTTTAACAAAATTACAACAGGAAAGAACCATTCAGCACCACAGAAAGGCACGTGAGGAGAGGGGGCTCTTACTGAAGAGGAAAGTGAGGGTGGTGCAGTTTCATTCCATCTCATCCCGTCCTATCTCCGGTCACTACCAAAATAGTAATTGCCGGCCGAGGCTTCTCCAGGCCAAATCCGGACCATGGCATTTGATTTTCCCAAGCCCGTTAAGCTCTTTGCAGTTCACCGAGTGGATTTAGCCACCCGGTTCATGCATCCTTTTGAAATCTACCCTGTTATACTAAGGGGGCTACAAAAGGCACGATGCCCTTTATTAATAGACGCCTACCCATTATTTTTAAGATTTAGCCTTGATCCAGGAATAATAATTATCAAATTGTGTCTCAAAAAGAAAAAAAAAAAACCTGAGATGGCATCCTCACGAATCTCACGTAGAGAGGCTATAGCCTCGTTGGCATTCTATCCGGGTACTAGGCAGTTGGAAGAAAAGCAAAGCATCCGCTACAATTTTGCATAAATTCTCCTCGCTACCTGAGAGCAAAGAAGCCAAATTGCTTTCTGGGTTTTGGGGCGGTTTGTTTGCTGGGGTTGTTGTTTTGGGTCGATGGCTCTGTTGTTTGCCGGTTTGGTTTGGAATATTGCAAGGGACTCGGCATTCGATTGGCAGTGCTGTGCCTTCCTTAATCTGCTCTCTGCCAACGTGAGAAGCCTCCCTTTCCTGACCGGTTGCGTTTTAAGCTCTCTCCTCATTCCAGCGCTCTCCTTTGGTCACACTTTTCTGCGAGCGACAGATTCATTGCACACTCCTTTGGGCTAGCCGCTGGCTCAGACTGTCCCAAACAGCTGCCAGCCCACCCACAGCACATTTGTAACTTTTATTGAAAGTAAATGTTTGAGAGAGCACAGCATTTCAATTCCCCCAGTGGAAACAGATAGCCTAAAGTAAAACTACCTGCTTTTATGCCAAAGCTACACAGAAGACAAGCAGAGATCAGATGGCCTCTAAAATTGCCCTAATGTATACATCCACATCCTTCCAAAAAGCACAAAGGCCCAAACTTAGAGGCGCCTGTATTCCTGCCAGGAGAATGCCCCGGCTGTTACAGAATATCCTGCAGCATTAATGTCATCCGATTGTCACACAAAGCGGAGGATGCTTGTTCGTTTTAAAGATAGCTTTTACAAATGCCTGTGCAATTCTTCCTCTCAAAGAGCTATGGTCCAAGTGAACTGAGAAAGCAGCAGATATCTAATGGGTCATTCCTCCTCTCTGTACTCTCTAATACTCCTCTGGCACAGTAATTTCATTCCCAAACGTTCCTTATGTCACACAGAACAAAACAATGTGAGATTCCATTTTGAAATATTAACATGTTTTACTAAATCCATCTATTTTGCTACAGATGAGCTGCTTGGATATTTTATCCATGGCCATGGCATTTATGTGTTTGCCCTGTCAAATCTCCCGTGGGATTGTTTCCCAGAGCCTAAAGCCCCATGAATGGGTTACACCCTGAGCTCTTCTAATAGCCGTCTTGCTTTTCGGTGGTGTGCTAAATCCCCCCGGGTGATTTCACTCTGACATTGTTCCACAGGTAGCAAGCTCCAGGCAGGACTCGCCTCAGGGGGCAAAGAACGCCTGGCGCAGGGTGCGCGTGTCAGCAACGGCAGCTGACGCAAATGGCGACACCTGCACGCCGGGAAGCTGCGAAATCCGTCGGTGCTGACCGAGGTATTTTGGGGTGGTCGAGCGTCATTGTTTTGGACTTCTCTCGACCTCACTAAGCGGAACGCAGCCGCTGCCGGTAAGCTTCGTCTGTAGTGTTTGCGGTGATACCTAGCTCTGCGGGCATTTGTTTTCTCTCATCGAATCGTTAAATGGCAATGCAGCCGTTAGTTTGCCTTGCCCAATTCGAATAGATTTTGTGGCCAGTAAGTACTCCCAGTTCATTAAGTGCCTGACCTCAGCATTAACACCCTCTCTGCTCAGGTTGCCTTGGAAACAGAGCTTCCTGTGCGTAATCCAAGCTTATCTAGCTCTTTATCCTACATGTGACCCTTAATTACTTGCTAAATTAGAATGGTTTTCTGAAAATCACAAGAGGAGGTTAATACGTTCTTCCAGAGCTGGTCAAGCTAAGATGACACTAAATTCACAGGGAATTCAAATTCCCTGATCCCTGAAGGCGTCTCTTTCAGAAGGAAGATGAACTTTCCCAATGGGAGGCAGTGTGCCATGATAATGCTCCTGTCACTCACTTTCCTTGCCTAGCTTGTCCAGCCCCAGCTTAATCCAGTGTGAACAACAGACTAAGTAAATATCAGGTTGATTAATTATGGTGCAAGATTCAGTAACAGCCTGTCTTCTGTAATTAACATTGTAATTGAAAGTAAGTAATACGCTGCATACACGGAATCCTGGCCTAGGAGGAGGAACGAGGGAGAATTCTTGAGGCTGTGACGGGGAGATGAAGCATATAAAAACAGGGCTCAAAATATTCATTGTCTCTTTAAAATTGTGGTACATTGTAAGAATTTTTTCAGTCAGAAAAAGGTTTCTTTGAAGACTGGACTTGATGATCTTAGAGGTATTTGCCAATCTTAATAATTCTATTATTCTAAAAAGAAAAACTTACTTCAAGATGAAATCAGGTTGGATTCTTGAAATATGGCTTACAGTTTGTGAAAACCCACTTTCCCTTCACTGCTTTGACAAACACATCATGAGAAAATGCTCTCTAATATGCCCAGTGCTTTTCCTATCCATTGTTTCCAGTGGCAAAAACTCAAAGACAGTGAGTCTTTGGCTTCTTTCAGTGGCTTTATAAAGCTGTGCTAAAGCTCAAATGCTAAGGCATGGTCTCAGGAAAAAAAAAAAAAAAACCCAATTTAAATCCTCTGTGACTGCCACACAGCATTTAATTAACTACACAGAAAATCCAACGCAAAAATCCCAGTCTGTTTCCCAGTCTGTAGCAGGAAAATAATTCTGCCTCTGTAAAAAGGCTTGCCTTTGGGGACATTTTATAAAAATCATGGATTAATCACCAACACAGGGAGAGACCGGACAGGTCCTCCAGGTACGGCCACGGCCACTTGCATTTCTGCTCAGAATCCTCAAGTTCGACACAAAACACCTCAGAGGTTTATTAGCCTAAGCCGTGGTTCGCCCCACACCCTTTAGAACGGTTCACTCATTGGAGCCCCATTTGTTTTCTCTTTTCTTACCTCTGTCCTTTCCAGTGTGGGTTTGTCAATGTGTCCAAACACTCAGACCATTGGAGGTTGAARGAGAGACTTGTAGCTGCTGCATATTCACAGGGATTTTTACTTCCCTGATGAGATCTGTGGAAAACATGATGGGATTTTTATAAGACTAATGACAGAGAAATTATACCATCTATTTCCAGGTAGGATTTGAGACAATTCAGGTATTTCATTTCTTGTGATTGTACAGAATTGTGATTATGCAGATTACGATCCTGTCAATGCTCTCAATCCCTGCCAATCTAAGTGGATTTCAGGCCAGCGAGCCATTTTCCATTCTCTATTTGCTGAGGCTTTGAATTCAAATCTAACTTTCAGGATAGAATTCAATTAAGTTTTTATAAATAGGAAATATTTTTTGTTTTCTCTAGTGAGCTCATGGAGCAAAATGACTTGAAGAGACAGTTCCCTATCTTAACTGCTAATATGTGTAAGTCTTTTTGAGTCTCTGGATGACAGTTTTCCCGCTGTCCCAGTGGATCATAGGGCAGCTTTGCATGCCTGGGAATGAGACTTTTAAATAAGTTTCCATTTGCGAAGGAGATTTTAGAAATCCTCCGCGGACAATTGCTAACACAGCTTCTCTGCTGGTGCCTGTAAGCAGCAGAATTTCAGCCTGCTTTCACCTGTGTGGGCGAATGGGTAAGAGAGAATTTGTTTCAAGGTCGGTGCTTTTGGGTTTCTAGTCTCCTTCGGCGTGGTTCTGTTATTTTACTGGCATCGGTTCCAAGCTTACTGCCAAATGTGGGAAACAGACAGGACAGGGCCTCAGGCTGCTCTATTTGGACCTCTGAAGCACACACCATTTTATCCTCCTGAAGTAATTATAGAATTTCACCTCAAACATTACTTTTCAAATCCTTAAAGAAAAGAACAGCTGAGTTTTCTCTGTCTAGATAGCTGCACAGGAGAGACTATCAATTCCCCTGACATCTCCCACATATGTTTTGTACTCTACAAAACCAAAATAGATTCACAAAATAGGGATGTTTTGGAATATTGTTGGATGGAAGATACCATACAAAACAAGCATTAAACACTTCTTTCTCTACTAAAACAAGTATTAACTGTTCAAGAATACTCAATGTGCTTACATATAGAAGTTCTTCTAAAATTTCTCTCAGAAATATTTTGCTTGCCAAGTCTCATTTGGTCAACATATTCACTTACTCCTTTGTGCAGGTGAAAAAGTGAGATTGTCAGGTTTGACTTTCATCCACGCTGAAGAAAATGTGTGCCATTTTAAAAAAAGGAACTTAATCTCTCCTGAATGCCTCTGAGATCATCCTCTTCTTTAGCAGGCTCTGAACCTACTTACTGAGTCTTAAATTGCTCATACTCGCAGATTAAGCAGAAGAAGGGATGTCAGAAACAAACGGGTATGAAAAGTGTAGAACAAAACCCGGGGGTGTAAGGAAACTGAAAAAAAAAAACCACTCCTGATAATTTTCTTCTGCAATAAGGCCGTAAGGTTGTTAAGTGAAAACGGAGAGAGTGAGAAAGGAAGCTCTTAACTGTTGGTTCAGTCCTTCAATTAACTTTGAGCCAAGCCCTGCTCTCTGACGCTGCACACTGACGAACACCCATGTTTCTCACCTCGGCCGTGTCGGGGACCCTGTCACCACTGTCAGCTGGCACGGTCGGGGCCTGCCTGTCCCCTGAGGTTTGCTTTTCTCATCTCTACGGAAGGCTGGCCTCTCATCGTGTGAGAAACAGCGTGGATGTTCCTGCGGGACCTCCGACTGCTCCGCAAATGAACTGAAAAGAGCGCGTGCCAGCGCGATCTTTGTTAAGAAAGTAACATTGAGGGCAAAGAACAGATTATTTGTCCTTCGGGCGCTGCGCACCGTTAGCGGCTCGCAGCCGAGAGGCCGTAAGAATGCGGCGGACCCGCACAGCCCCGGAGCACCCCGGCGCCCGCAGCAACTCGGAAACGGGCCGGAAGGAACCGGGACGGAGGCCGCGCTCCCGCCGTGCCCCGCGGCCACGCACCGGGGGCGGGAACGCGACAGGAGCCCGCCCGCTCCCCCGCCCGC